CAGCGGTTGATCCGGAATTCCTCAATTTTTCCGTGCACTGGACTTGGGTTTTCCCCGCCATCTTTATGGGGGGCAGTGTTCTGCGAGACGCCGTTTTATAGTGGCCATCATGGCGCATGCGCGATCTTCCTTTGGTATTGGGTGAGAAGGGCAGGGTTGACACACAGCAAACTCCTACCAAGAGAAATGCTTGCCTCTTCGGAATTTCTATCGTGGGATTTCGGGAACTTCCAGGGTACTGGAAGAGGAGGGTTGACAGACAGGAAAATCAAAACAAACCAGGTCAAAGTCTGACAGAGTCACTGGATTCTGTCTGTGGGAGAAGATTGCAGGTTTCAGTGTGACTGGGAATGCACCGAGATACACAAACTATGGTTAGACCACACTTGGAGACCTATGTTCAGTTCTGCCCACAACCTAATGAATGATCTATTGGCCTTGGAAAAAGCATAGCATAAATTTTCCCATGTCTTATCTGAACTCCAAGGTTTTTACATAGAATCCCTACAGTGTGCAAACAGGCCCTTCAGCCCAACAAATCCACACTGACCCTTGGAGCATCCCACCCAGACTCATCCCCTTAAAGCCCATCTAAGCTACATATCCCTGAACACTATGGGCAATTTAGCATGGCCAATCCACCTAACCTGCACATCTTTGGACTGTCAAAGGAAACTTGGAGTACCCGGAGGAAAACCATGCAGACACAGAGAGAATGTGCAAACTCCACACAGACAGTCACCCGAGAGTGGAATTGAACCCAGGTCCCTGACGCTGTGAGGCAGCAGTGCTAACCACTGAGCCACCGTGCTGCCTATTTAGAAGATGAGATCACTCAAAAGAGTCATAGAGTTAGTATGCAACAGAGGATAGTACTGAGTACATGCAAGGCCTCGACACTCATCCAGTCAGTCCTATTCTTGTGTTCTATCCCTTTATTTTTGCAAGTGATTTTTCTCAATTGCTGATGAAATTTCATTTGGAAATCAATCACTGACCACTTTCACTTCCCTCAAATAATGTGGAAGTGCCGGTGTTGGACCAGGGTAGACAAAGTAAGAAATCACGTGACACCAGATTATAGTCCAACAGGGTTATTTGAAATCACAAGCTTTCAGAGAGATGCTCCTTTGTCAGGTAAAGTGGAGGAGAGCACACAGGCACAGAATTTATAGGCGGAGATCATTGCAAGATAATTCTAGGTAATTAAGAGTGTCAAAGGTAGTAGTACAAATGGTGCAAGTAGAGTGTTGACAGGCTGAATGACAAGTCTTTGCAGGTGATCAAAAGTGTCTATGGTGTGAGTGAAGTGTCAATAGCTAAATAGCAAGTGAAAGGAAGACCTATGATCCAATTAATTAAGGCAGAGAGATACTTACAAAAAGATCAAAAATAAGATGGTGCTAGAGACAAACCAAATGGCTGGAAATAACATGATAGGTATAAGAGTGGCATGATGATTGTCTAACCAAAGTAACAAGTAATCCAAAACTGTACAAACTAATTAAGGTAGAGAGATAATAACAAGTTATCAAGGTGATAGTGTCAAAACAGGACAGTAAGGAAGATTTTACAAACACAGAACAGTGTGGTGGGGTTACATGTAGCACAACATGACCCCAAGCTAACGGCTGAGGCCATCTTCATGGATACAGAACCTGGCTGTCTGTTTCTGCTCGGTGGTTCTGCATTGTTGTGTATCTTGAAGGCCACCTTGGAGGATGCTTACCAAAGATTGGAGGCTGAATGTCCTTGACCCCAACTGGGAGGGAACATTCCTGCCTGGCGATTGTTGTGCAGTGTCCATTCTTCAATTGCTGTAGCATCTGCATCGTCTCGCCAATATACCATGCCTCGGGGCAGCCTTTCCTGCAGCGTATGAGGTAGACAACATGGGCCGAGTCACATGATTATATGCTGTGTACGTGGTGAGTGGTGTTCCCATGTGTGACAGTAGTATCCATTTTGATGATCTGGCATGTCTTGCAGAGATTGCCCTGGCAGAGTTGTGTAGTATTGTGGTTGCTGTTCTCCTGAAGGCTGGGTAGTTTGCTGCAAATGATGGTCTGTTTGGTGGTTGTTCGAAGGTGAGAAGTGGAGGTGTCAGGATATCCCTGGTGAGATGTTTGTTGTCATCAGTAACATGTTGAAGGCTGTGAAGAACATGGTGTAGTTTCTCCAGTCCGGGCAACTACTGGATGATGAAGGGTACTCTATCGTTCGTGTCCCATGTCTGTCTTCTGAGGAGGTCATTACTATTTTTTGCTGGGGGTCGTTGGAACTGGCGATCTATGAATTGAACATCGCATCCCGTTCTTAGGAGGGCGTTTTTCAACATCTGTAGGTGTCCTTTGCATTCCTCCTATTCTGAGCAGATCCGATGTTTATGCAGGGCTTGTTTGTAGAGGATGGCTTCTTTAGAGTGGAAGCTAGTGAAGTGAAGCATCATGAGGTTACCTGTGGGCTTGCAGTAGCAAGTTCCAAGGCATTGTCACTCACGTTGTTCTCATCACATTCCACTCTGTCTCTTACTCAAAAACTTCAATCTGTCCCTGGTCTGTATACAATCAACTAACAGGAAGAGATTGTCTTTCCCTAATTTATTTAAACTTGTTACAAGTATTGTACCTCAACTAAGTCTCCTCTCAATCTCCCTTTCTAAATCCATTTTGATAATTCTCCTGTGCCCCTTTTTAAAATGTGGTGACCAGAAGTCAGCACTATACTTGAGTTTTCAACACAATTATTTTTGTTCTTGATACACCATCTGTGAAACCTGAGATCCAATTTGCTTTCCTGACTAATTAATATACTCTCCTATATTCAAAGATCCGTGTACATAAAACCCAAATTCCTCTGTCCCTGCACACTCTTTAGAAATGTACCATGAATTGTATATTGCCTCTTCCTATCCCTTCTGCTAAAATACATCACTGTGCTATGAGAGGGGAATTCCGTGGAATTCAAACACTAAGTGTGATTTTGATCAAAGTTTTGAGTTATTATTGGCAGCAAATTGGGTAGTTAGAAAGGAATTATTTCCACTGGTGGGGAGTTGAAGGTGAGCACACACATTGTAAACATACCATTAGATTACAGCTCCTTTTCAGATTGAACATACCAGATCCTGACAACATCCTGTTGGCGCAGAAACTTCTGAACTCCATGTTGAATCTGAAATGTATGTTGAAATATGATAGGACACCTGTTTAGTAAGTTTGCAGAAGACACTAAAGTACGTGGTGTAGTGGACAGTGAAGAAGCTTACCTCAAGTACAACAGAACCTTGATCAAATATGCAATAGGCTGAGGAGTGGCAGATGGAGTTTTAATTAGATAAATGTGAGGTGCTGCATTTTGGTAAGGAAAACCAGGGTAAGCCTTATACAGTTAATGGTGGGGCCCTGAGGAGTATTGCCAAAGAGAGACCTATGGGTACAGGTGCATAATTTGTTGACAGTGGAGTCGCTGGTAGACAGGATGATGAAGAAGGCATTTGGCATGTTTGCCTTCATTGGTCAGAACATTGAGTATAGGACTTGGTTCGTCATGTTGCAGCTGTACATTGGTGAGGCCACTTTAAGAATACTGTGTATAATTCTGGTCACCCTTCTATAGGATGTTATTAAACTTGAGAGGGTGCCGAAAAGACTTTGAAGGATGTTGCCAGGACTGGAAGATTTGACTTATAGGGCGAGGCTGAATGGGCTACAGCTTTTCTCCCTGGAGTGTCAGAGGCTGAAGGGTAAACTTACAGAGGTTTATAAAATCATGAGGGGCATGGATAGAGTGAATAGCCAAGGTCCTTCACCTAGAGTGGGGGAGTCCAAAACTAGAAGGCATAGGTTTAAGGTGAGAGGGGAAAGATTTAAAAAGACCTGAGGGGTAACTTTTTTACGCTGAGGCTGCTGCGTGTATGGAATGAGCTGTCAAGTGGGGGAGGTGGATACAATGACAATATTTGAAAGGCATCTGGAGAGATGTGAATAGGAAGAGTTTAGAGGGATATGGGCCAAATGCTGGCAACTGGGACTAGGTCAGACTGGGATGTGTGGTCAGCACAGATAAGTTAGACTGAAGGGTCTATTTCCGTGCTGTCTGACTGTATGAGCTGCTGTTCCTCGATCTTGCTTTGAGCTTCTTTTGGAGCAGGGGAGAGAGCCAAGGACAGAGATGTCAGAGTAGGAGTGGGGTAGATAATTAAAATGACAACTGACTGGAAGCTCAGGGTTCAGTTTGCAGACTGAATGGATGTTGTTCCATGAAGTAATCACCCAGTCAGTATTTGCTGATTCCAATATAGAGCACACCACATTTTGAACAGTGAACACAATAACTAAATTGCAAGAAGTACAGGTGAATCATTGTTTATTGTTCATATTTAAGAACCTAGAGGACAGCCTATAGAAAGATACTTCATTTGCACAGTGGGTTATAAAATGCAATGGACCAATTGCAAAATTATTACAGCTATAAGCTATCTTAGCTATAGGCTAAAATAATCCCCAACTGTCTGAATTAGTGTAGTTAAGTCCTGGATGTGATTAACAGCAAAATCCAACTCCTGCATTCGTTTCTGAACTCACTGGTTTCTTGGCAAGTTGAATGATTGATTAAATGCTTGGAACACTTGGAGTGGTTGAGTGGTCTCTCTCCAGCCTGTACCTGCTGCTATGAGTCATGGAAGTGGTGGTTTTCCCATGTAGCAGCTGCTCTCATGTTTCTAGTTGGTGAGTTTGGGAGATTCTGTTAACATTCCAGTTAAACTGCAAATAGGTGGAGCCCATCTCCTTCATGCTCCTCCATCTTCCACTGGCCTCCTTTGGAAGCAAGAGTCATGTGTCGGTCCAGACCAGGCAGCAAGTTCCTTATCCTTAAGGACATTAGAGAACTTGTTTGGTTTTAAATGCAATCCAGCAGCTCTCACAGTCACATTTTCCTAGGCTCACTGCACAAATTACCAGACTTATTCAGTTCAATTCCA